ATCAGAAGTCTCATCTCAAGTCTTTTTATTGGCATTTTATTGAAACTTGGGAAATAAAAGTGCCATACAATCCCATTAATCCATTGAGAAATTACCTAGATGGTTGAATTGCTTAACTAATTTGGCTGCTAAAAGTAAAAACTTAACTTTGCAATGTCCTTTTGGCCATCAGATATATGGAGCAAACCTAGCTTTGGAAGAATTCAATATTTGCTTTAATTTTTAATGACATTGCCTTAATGGCCTTCTTGCAAACATCTGAAATTCCATTGCACCAAAGGTCAGATTTGTATAATTCTTTAGTTTTCTCCCTCACAGTATTTCTCTTTGGCTGTATTTGTACATGCATTAGGCTGTGGATTGATCAGCCATAGTTTCCTAAGCAGGGGCTGATTTTTGCTGAATGGTTGATCCAGTGCTGGCACAGACACCTGGATTGAAAGAGCTGCCCTTTTCTTGCACGGTGTGGAAGCCCTCCAGAAGAGGAAGGAATGGCCTGGGGGTTGCCTTCCATATCCTGGGTGGCTGGGACTGATGATTGGGGAGTCCCCCAAGGAGCCTTTGGGGTTTGTGCCACCCTCATCTCAGACTGAGGCTCTTGGCTTTGCAAAAAAAAAGAGAGAGAAGGTTTGAGGGGGAGAGGGCCTTTGGAGCAATCTCTGCTCAGTCCCTTTCTCTCCATAGTCTGCTTTTCCCCCACAGAAGTGCTTTCTTCCCTCTCCCATCATTCTGGCCCATGAGGAAAATGCATCCCTTCTTCCACCTCTTGAGCCTATTCCTCCTGGGTGAGGAATTCTGGGAGTTGAAGTCCACACATCTGAAAGTTGCTGAGGCTGAGAAACACTAAGCTAAGGGGAAAAGGCTGAGCCAATAATAATAATTAATAATTTATTAAACTTATAAAATGACGGGGAATGGAAGCAATGACTTCAATGTAGCTCCTAAATCCCACTATTCCTTGCTCTGAAATGTCATTTATGGGCTGCGTTTGCACAAGAAACTAAGCCAAAATCTATTGTTTACAAACACGGTTCAGGCTGCTGATCCCTTCTTCTCTGAGTGGTGTCTGGATCAGAGGTGCTTGTGTCCTTGATAGTATTGTTTAAGATTCAAAATTCACCCAGGAATCATTTTCAACCCCATCATTTCAAGGGGGAAAAATGCTGTAAATGCCAGATTGGAAGCTAGTTAGTCAAATGGCTAGCACAGACTTTAGCTTTACCGTATGACCTACAGCCTGAGTCCCTTTTCTCCCATAAAGGGAAACACCTGAGTCAAAGCCAGTCTGACAAGGACCATCTAGAAACACTTCATGTTCACCACATGCCTAGAAAAGGAAACTTCTGGAATCTCATAAACTTTAAGCCAGGACAGTATCCAAAGCATGGAAGATCGTTTATGCAGAATCCTTGGGGTTCTCTGAGCTTCGTTGTTTTCTTGCAGATGTTTCATTTACCTGACTAGGTGACATCTTCAGTGCTAGAAGGGAATAGGGCTTGCTCTCTGTTTATATACAGTAGCTTGCCTTGTCAGTGTTGGAGGGGGTGTTTTAATTCTTGGTAGTTCCTAGATTAGGCTGTTATCTACTACTTGGTTGTTTGTCTGAGTTGGTAGTTTCTTGATTAGGGTATTGTTTACTGCTTGTTTGTCTGGTATTAATCCTGGTGTTAATTCCTTATCTGGGTTTTGATTGCTGGTGAGGAAGTATTCTGATCTTTTTGTTTCCTTTTTATTGTCTCTTTTGAAAGGCCTCTAAATGTTGTTTGTGTGCTTGTTGAGGGCTGACTTGTCTGAATACCAATCTTCCAGGAATTCCCTTGCATTTTTGGATGGTTTCCCTTCCTGGGAAGTTATTCTGGCTAGGAATGATCTGCAGCTGCCTAAAGAAATACTGCAGGGCCTCAGAACTGACCCAAATCCTCTCAGAAATGGCTGAGAGGGACCCCAGAAGACCACAGGCCTGACAATGGAGGAAATTATTCACTCTGGTTTTGTCGCACTTGAAAAAACAGAAACTTGCACCTTGAGGAGCAAATGCAATCTGAGGTTCAGAAAAACTGATTCTGAGGTAAATCTTACCTCAGAAATTTGACAGCCTGTCTGGGAAACAGCTTCATTTGGGAACTTTGCAAATATTAACCCCCCAAAAGACTTTTTTTCTTGTTCAAACCACTTCACTTCTGAAGGCTTTTTGCCCTCTTGGCTCTTCTCAAAGAGAAGGTTGGACCTGGATTAAAAAGGCAGCTTTACTGGGAAGTTGCCATTGCTTCGGGCGTGGAAAAGATGGTGGGCCTGACACGGGGAGTGACGGGATGGGCCATGAAGGCTAAAATCGCCCCAAAAGAGAATACATATTTCAAGACAAGAGCCTTGAAGCAGGAAAAGGACTGCAAGAAATGCAGCTGCAAAAGTTTTACCTCAGAAATTTCACAGGATGGGAAATGAAGGCCAAAGGGGGATTTGCTGAAAGGTAATCAAGTCGGAAAGAGAAATGGTGGCTGAGCTCTGGGGGTTCATTGAATGAAGAGATGGGAGGAGAAACTTCCTGCAAAGGAAGAATGAAATATAGAATTAAAATGCTCCTGAAAAATTAGAGCTGAAGCATCTCTTGAGGACCGAAGGCAGCCTCAAACCAAGACCACGAAGGAACAGAGAAAAATTCTGAATAATTTATTATATATGCTACTCAACTCCCGTGACTCTAGTTGGCATATACAATTATTAATTTATTAATAATATATAATTTAATACTTTAATCAATAATTTATAGTTCTATAATTTATTAATTATTAATCATTTATTAATGAGGTGGAGGAGAAAATGCTGGAAGGAACACGTGAGATTTGGCTGAAGTTGGAGCCACAATTTTTGGCAGGAGGGGGAAAAAGCCTTCTTGAAAGCCAAACGAAGAAAGAAAAGAGAAAGAGAAGGAAAGTGGTTAAATAGTCCCTTTTCAGGCCATTTTTCTCTGTCAGGAAAACATTATTATTGCTGTTTAGGTGGTTTATATGCTGCCTTAGGGCGGATCGAAGGCCGCCTCACTGCCTTGAGGCGAAGGAGGAGCAGAATGGCCTGAAGGGGCGTAAAACTCAAATCGAATTGCATTTTTATTCGGAGACAAAAGGGAGACCGACTTTCGGTGCGAGGAGGAAGATGCCTCGTGGCGTCGACTGTCAGGCGAAGCCGCCTCTTTTTGGCCATTTCCTGAGGGAAGATCCTGGGAAGAAACAAGCGGGTACCACGAGCAAGGGTGCAAGAAAGGGCGGGAAAGCCAGACGCTCTGGAGACGCCGCCATCTTCCTCAGCCGCTCGACGCGCGCGCACGTGCAGGGACAGCCTGGGATCTCCAAGAGATGCTCTTTTCAGGCTCGGCCTGGAAGCCTTCCCAGCGGCCGTCCAACGGAGATGTCTCCCTCCGGATGCTATGCCACGAGCGGAGCTTCAGGAAGGCCCCAAGGCTCATGCGGGCAGGTTTCACCAGGGGGCGCCCTCAGGCAGAACAGAGCTTTCGGGAGGGAACTGCGCATGCTCTGCACCGCTTGGCCGGGGAGGGCGGGCTTCGCAGGCGGAGTTTCCCCCTCCACGAGGGGAGCGGGAAGTGACGTCACTGGGAAGCCTTGCCCCTCTAGGACTTTGGGCTCTCCCGTCTTGAGACTCTTCCGGCAGGGGAAGAGGCTGCGGGGATGGAGATCCAGACGGGATTCTGGGTGAGTGGGGGCCTCCTTGGGGGAAGGGGAGCAAAGGGGAGGGAAGGGAGACATGTAAAGGGCTCAGTCAGAGTCACCCTTCCCAGTCCTGGGGGGAAACGGGGAGAGTCCGGGGACCCATGTTCCCCGGTCGCCCCTTTCCATGTACGTGCCAGGCAGGGGGGAAACGAAGAGCCACAAACTAACCGTCTTGTCCAGGAGGGAAAAGTCCAGGGTCGCCAGGAAGGAGGAGGGGACTTGGGGGGCTGCACCCCCCCATTTCCTGCAAAAAATCTCTGCATGGGGGGAGAGGGAGGGTTTGCACTGCAAAGCTTAGTCAAGTGATGCACATTCTGCAGGAAGGGCAGTGCAGCTGGACCTGTGTGGCTGCATTCTCACAATATTGTGGATTTGGGTTCCTTGATCCACCTTGATTCTGAAGATTCTGTATTTCTTCCCCAGAAATACCTCCCTAATGCAGTCCCTGTCTTTTGTTCACAAACATGTGTCCATTTAGAAAAATCTGACTTTTGTTGTGTGTGTGCGTTAGATTACAATTACAATCTGTCAGTCTCTTTCTGAAAGTATGGTTCCTTTTTGTCCCAGATATACAACTAGAAGCCTTTTGTGTCTCCTTGTTTGGAAACAAAGCCTCCTAGAGTCACTTATACAGTGAGATGGGCAGCATATAATAAAATAAATCAGTATCTCAGAAGCAAAGAGGGCTGAACAGCCTTGGGAGACTTGTCCAGGACCTCTTCCTGCACTTCAGGTACTGTGAGTGAAAAGATTGGTGAAGATCCAGAAATCCATTGGTCTCATTTCGAGCTGGATTAGAGGATAAAGAGAAAATGGAGGGACAATGCCCAGCAATTGCAGAAACTGGAAAAAGTCCTCCAGCACCTCAGCCTGGGAGCTGTGGGGAGATCTGGGTAAAAATTGGGCAGGAGATCCTGGAGGATGAAATCATCAGGTCAGAAATACTATGCTGGAACTTCCGGAATGTCCACTACCAGGAGGCCAAGGGGCCCCGAGATATTTGCAGCCGCCTCCACCACCTTTGCCATCAATGGCTGCAGCCCGAAAGACACACGAAGGCTCAGATGCTGGACCTGGTGCTCCTGGAGCAGTTCCTGGCTATCCTACCACCAGAGATGAAGAACTGGATTCGGGAATGTGGAGCAGAGACCAGCTCTCAGGCGGTGGCCCTGGCTGAAGGTTTCCTGCTGAGCCAAGCAGAGGAGGAGCAGGAAGATTTGCAGGTGTGAGAATTTAGTCTTGGCAGCCCTAAAGAGGAGTTTAATATAATAATATTTCTGAACTAATGAATGTCTTTCTAACATAGTTTTCTGGGATTGATGAGGAGAGATGGTTAACTCAGTAGTTCTCAGTGTGGACCGTGTGGCCCTCCAGGGGTTCATTTCAAGGGGGCCACAGTCTTTGTATGATACAATTTAAATAAATGAACAGTGAGATGGTAAAGTACCTTTTTTCCAGCTAACATTGATTCTGAGGCTGGTCACAGAGGTAAATGAGGCTCACAAGTGGCCCCTGAGCAAAAAAGGTTGACTTTTTTGGCAAACTGTTTCATGGTTTCCTTCAGAGAGGTAATTCTTCCATCCTCACCAGTGGGCATAGGGCACAGTGATGTTTACATCAGAGTACCTGTTCCTTTATTTCTCCCTTTGATTTTCCTGGTACATCAGGTCCAGAGGCCCTTCTTAGAGTCCATCATCAGGCATCCTGAGGGAACAAGGGAGCCATCAAATTGGTTACAGAAACTCATTTTCAGAGGGATGTCCCAGGCAGATATCTCACCAGGTAAGGAAAGGTCCTTCCAAGTGCTGAGAATTTCCCCAGAGTGATTCCCGTTATCTGTTTTCTCTGGGTCGTTTTGTTTATAACATGTCTACATATTGTATGCTTCATGCTTTTAAAAATCTACTTACAACACTTTTGTTCCCATACAGAGAATAGAAGGGTACCATTGCTATTTGTAGGATCGTCTTTTTCTGGTGGAGCTGAAAGAACTTCTGGAGCTCAAGTTCAGGTAGGACAACAAACATAGAGACAATACAGGGAACATTTGGAGGCCTTCTGTTTTAATCTGGGGTTGAATGTATAATATTACTGTTCTTCAGTGTGGGTCTCTGGCAATTCATCTTAGCCTATCAACAAAACATTTTTTAAAAAAAACCTTTGGAAAAGCAAGGAAAAAAAGTCACAAATAGTGATGGTTAAAACTGGAGCCACTTTTTCCTTAATTTGAAAGATTTCCCATTGTGCTTCAATGCTCAAAACAACTTAATTAATCAAATGGAATAATTATCATTTTTAAAGTATCGCTTCAAAGCAGTGAAGAGAAATAAAAGCATATCAGGCTTTTAAACTGATTTAAATAGATTTTGCTGGGTAAAAATCTTTAAACTGGCATATTATATTGTAAAAAGAAGAAAGCAGTTTTTACTAGGCTATACAAATGTGCCACATAGAAATATTACTAAATAATAGTTGTGCCTAAAGAACTTGTAATCAAACCACTTGCAAGTTCCATAGCAAATCAGTAAATCAGTCTCTTAGTTTCCATCCAGCCAATGGCTCAAACCATGAGCAGCTTCCCTGGAATGTGAGGAAAAACGAATTGGCTGCACGCCACTTGCCTATGGATGGCGTGCTACAGAAATCCCTTGATGCAGTTTCCCAGCACTTTCCTGAAGGGGTTAAGCGTGGGCAGGATTGGTCCTTCACAGGACACCAAATGCCATTGGCTAAAATAGAAGCACTTCCTTCTGTTATATCAGGAAGGGTTGGAGCCGTTGATAGGTGGCATCCAAAGTCTTTCTGATTGATCCAGAAAGATACCATAGCTTTCACTGAATGGCACTGTAAGTCCCATAGAATTGGGCAAATTGATAATACTTTCCTCAAAAATTTCATCCATCAAAGGCTGCGGGCTTTGTTGATTTTCTCACATAAAATTCTGAGTCCTGTAGAAAATGCCCATTTTACAAATGTTTGCTTTGGAGATTTATGAACTAAATAATTTGCAAATCATTCTTGGGCCTCTCTCTTAATGGGTAACACTTTCCTTTTTTAGGGTCTTGTATCCTTTGAGGAGGTGGCTGTATCTTTCTCTGAGGAGGAGTGGGCTCGGCTGAATGTCGATCAAAAGGCTCTGCATAGGGAGGTCATGCTGGAGAATTCCAGGAATGTGGCATCTCTGGGTAAGGGACCCTGCTCTGTCCTCAGATACTTAGGGCATCTTGTAGCCAGTTATCAACAGCTATTTCTTATTCAAAAATTGAAAGCCAGACTTGGTTTTCTTGCTAGGAGAAGAAGACAGTCTGCTCTTCTCCTGCTCCAAGGACATTAAGAGGCCAATATCTACTCCTTAGATATAACATATAACATTAGATAACATTAGATAACATTTATCTAATATTTGGGGAGGTTTTCCTTACTAAAATTTTTAGTTTCTCTTTAATCTTGCCAATGACAATCTGTCTGCTTAGCTTTGGGCAACAATGAGATTTATCTGACTTCTGACAATACTGACCTCTAATTGGGCCAGATGCATCTCTGTTTGCCCTATTGGCATTTTCTCAGAGAAACTATTTGGTTCCTTTTTCTTTGATGCTTTTCCTCTATAAATATGAATCTCAGGATTCTGGGTGAAGTCTAGGAATATTTCTCTGTGCAAAGATCAACTGCCGCAAATTTTATTTCTCTATAACTGTATGGTTGTTGGGAGTGGAGAATGAGTAGGAAATATTTGGAAGTGATGTTTGCAAACTAAATATAGTTAGCTGTGCTCTTCATTCCAATTGTCCTTCTGGACACTCCTAAATAATTTTTTCTTTCCTCTGATTATTCATCTTGATTTCTACTGAGCTTTGATTGGAATCCAGGAGGAATATAATTTCTTGGTGGTCTGAAAGTTTTTACAAAATCTCATTATGGCATTCACACTTACTTCCTACAGTTACAACCTGATCTCTTTTTCCTAGCCTTGCAACAATTTCTATTCTTTTTTTTTTCTTGAAGGAATGAATGGGTATAAGAATGAAAATGACAAGAAACTATTCCAAACAATCAAGTGTGAAGAAGGAAAAGGGATAATCACAGATCAAATGGAAGCAAGAAGGCAAGAAGGAAACAAATCAAACTATGGGAGGAAGAAAAGCTCAATTTTTCAATTTGCTCCAGTTCAAGACATCAGTATTCATCACAAAGGAAAAAGAAGAAAATACTTATGGAAAAATGTGAAAATTTTCAAAGATAATTTAGATTTAAATAAACATTACAGAACTCACACTAAAGGACAGCAATTTCAGTACAGGGAGGATGAAAAAAGTTGCAATCCGACTTTCCGACTTTCTTTACGTGAGAGAGTAAAGATGGGAGAGAAACCATATAAATGCATGGAATGTGGAAAAAGTTTCAGCAAAAGTAGTTCCCTTGTTTCCCATAAAAGGATCCACACGGGGGAGAAACCCTATAAATGCATGGAATGTGGGAAGAACTTCCGTGAAAAAGGGTCCCTTAGTATTCATAAACGGATCCATACAGGGGAGAAACCATATAAATGCATGGAGTGTGGAAAGAGCTTCAGGTGGAGCAGTTTGTTTACTTACCATAAAAGAATCCACACAGGGGAAAAACCATATAAATGCATAGAATGTGGAAAGAGCTTCCATGAAAATGGGGCCCTTACCACTCACAGAAGAATCCACTCAGGAGAGAAACCATATAATTGTGAGGAATGTGGGAAAATATTCCGAAAAAGGAGTTTTCTTGCTTCCCATAAAAGGATCCACACAGGGGAGAAACCATATAAATGCATGGAGTGTGAGAAGAGTTTCAGCAATAGCAGTTCCCTTGCTTTACATAAAAGGATCCACACGGGGGAGAAACCATATAAATGCTTGGTATGTGGGAAGAATTTCCGTGAAAAGGTCTCTCTTCGAATTCATAAAAGAATCCATACAGGGGAGAAGCCATATGAGTGTATGGAGTGTGGGAAGAGCTTTAACAATAGCAGTTCCCTTACTTTACATAAAAGGATTCACACAGGGGAGAAGCCCTATAAATGCATGGATTGTGGAAAGAGCTTCCGTGAAAATGGGTCCCTTAATATACATAAAAGAATACATACAGGGGAGAAACCATATGAATGTATGGAATGCAGGAAAAGTTTCAGCAAAAGCAGTTCCCTTGCTTTCCATAAAAGGATCCACACAGGGGAGAAGCCATATAAATGCATGGAGTGTGGAAAGAACTTCCGTGAAAATTTGTTCCTTGCTAGACATAGAAGGATCCACACAGGAGAGAAACCATATAAATGCACAGAATGTGGAAAGAGCTTCATGTGGTACACTCAACTTACTTGCCATAAAAATATTCACACAGGGGAGAAGCCATATAAATGCACAGAATGTGGGAAAAGCTTCAGCAACACAGGTTACCTTACTTCCCATAAAAGGATCCATTCAGGGGAGAAACCCTATAAATGCTTGGAATGTGGAAAAAGTTTCCGCGAAAACGGGTCCCTTACTGTTCATAAAAGGATCCATTCAGGTGAGAAACCATATGAATGCATTGAGTGCGGAAAGAGCTTCACATGTAATAGTCAGCTTACTTCCCATAAAAGTATCCATACAGGTGAGAAACCATATAAATGCCTGGACTGTGGAAAGAGCTTCACTTGGAGCAGTCAGCTTACTTCCCATAAAAGGATCCATTCAGGCACAAAACCATATAAATGTTTGGAATGTGGGAAGTGTTTCACATATAACAGCTACCTTACTTCCCATAAAAATGTCCACACAGGGGAGAAACCCTATAAATGCATGGAGTGTGGAAAGAGGTTCAGTAGTAGTAGGCAACTTACTTCACATAATAGCATCCACACCGGAGAGAAGCCATATAAATGCCTAAAATGTGGAAAGAGCTTTAGCTATAGCAGTCAACTTACTTCCCATACCAGTATCCACACAGGAGAAAAACCATATAAATGTATGGAATGTGGAAAAAACTTCAGCAACAGCAGTTCCCTTTCTTTTCATAAAAGGATCCATACAGGGGAGAAACCATATAAATGCTTGGAATGTGGAAAGACCTTCCGTGATAATGGATCCCTAACTAATCATAAAAGAATCCACACAGGAGAGAAACCATATAAATGCCTGGAATGTGGAAAAAGCTTCCGTGAAAATGGGACCCTTACTTCCCACAAAAGGATCCACACGGGGGAGAAACCATATGCATGTCTGGAGTGTGGAAAGCGCTTCACATGGAACCATCAGCTTACTTCTCATAAAAGTATCCATACCGGGGAGAAACCCTATCAATGCACAGAGTGTGGGAAGAGCTTCAGCAGTAGCAGTTCCCTCACTTCCCATAGAAGGATCCACTCGGGCGAGAAACCATATAAATGCCTGGAATGTGGAAAGACCTTCAGTGAAAATGGATCTCTTTCTAGGCACAAAAGGATCCATTCTGGGGAGAAACCATATAAATGCCTGGAATGTGGAAAGAGCTTCACATGGATCAGCCAGCTTACTTCTCATAAAAGTGTTCATACAGGAGAGAAACCATATCAATGCACAGAGTGTGGGAAGAGCTTCAGCAGTAGCAGTTACTTTACTTCCCATAAAAGGATTCACTCTGGTGAGAATCCCTAAAAATACTAGATGTAGTTGGTTCCATCCAGCAATATCCTACTTCCTGAAGTAGAAAAGGTACTTTTTCTGAGTTCTAAATTCAGTTAAAATCTGACCTTTGCTAAAGCTTGACAGGAACAGTTGAAGATTTGATATGCTGAGGGAAAAAACAGGTGCATGCTTTTTTTTTAATGAGTTGATTTTTGAAATTTTTATCATTTTAAGATGCTGACCCTAGGTGATCAATAATGGGAAATCTTTTGGCTTAAGGTTTACGTTTAAGATTTTTGCAATTTCCATCTTTGCTTCAAAAATGGGAATTATAATTTTAGGGATCTCAAATTCATGGCTATACCGAGTTATGAACACTGTCTTTAATCTTATGTATTATTACAGCTTTACACATGAGTTCCATTCTCCCTAGTTTACTTAATCTTTCAGCTTGGCATTAGCACTAGAATGGATGAGTCCAAGTGCAGTTTGCAAATCACTAGAAGGATCCTTGATGCATTTCTACAGGACAGAACTATCAATATTCGTTCTCTGGGCAAAATTTCAACCCAAAAATTCCCCAGTCATTTCCTACAATTTGATCTGTCCTTGTGTTGCCTAGCTTTGTTATAATTCTGTTTTCCTTTGCTTCTTATTACATATTATAACTGCAGTTATACCACAGGCAAAAAACCCAGGTGCGTGCCCTCTTGAAAAGTCAGAAATGGTCCAGCAGCAGTAGCATGCTATTTCTGAGGCCATATAATACTTAGGCATTTTATTTTATTTTATTTTATTTTATTTTATTTTATTTTAATATCAAATTTGTCACTGCCCATCTCATTGAATGACTCTGGGTGGTTTACGAAATTCTTCATGAAATTGTATTAGAGGAAATGGAGAATGGATCTTGATGATGCTGAATTAAAAGTGACAACTAATTGTGTTTATGCTTTACATTTATAATGTTCCTTTTTCTTTGTCCCAAGTAAGGGGTACAGAGAAGGAGAATTAAAACAAGTCAAGTCTTCTGACATCACAAGCAATCAAGCATGAACAGAGGAAGAAAACATCAGGAATTCAGCTGGAACCAAAATAAAATGATTAACGTAGCACAAAAATCCTCCAGTTCAATATGCTGCCGTCTAGGGGTTCTTCTTGACCAAGAGGATCACAAAGGAACAAGATGGGAATTGCTTCTTATGTGGAAAAAAACTCGAAATAAATGAGACTCCAGTCCATGGCGTGGGACCAAGATTACAGACAACCAATACGGATGAAGAAAACATGGAACATTTTTTAATCAAAGGATTCTCTTACTTTACATTGATGAACCCACACTAGAGAGAGAGACTATATGAATATAACAAGTATGGAAAGGGTTCCAGGAGGGGAAAATCCTTCTCATTAAAGGAGCCACAGTGGAAAGAGAAGCCCTGTAAATGACGGTGGAAATGGTTTTTTTCCCAGGTTCTGAGTGCAAATATTACTTTTCTGTGATTTTCGTCTTCAGCATTCTTAGTGTATCAAATCTACAGATGACATAAAATTGGGAGTGGTAGTGATTCCCAAAAAGGTAAATCACAGAATTCAAGGTAATTAACTGATTTTAAAAATAGTTTGAAAAAGTAAGCTTCCCAAAATATTGACAAGCTAGCACCATTCTTATTTTTTCTTTGTGTTGCTTTTTAGCAGGACTTTTCCCCCTTATTCTTTCTTGCTCCAGCTATTGTTAAATATCACTTTTTCCCCTTCATATTCAAAGAGTTTCTTTACATCTTCTATTCTACTTAGGGCAACATTTCTACTTTATTTTTCTTTGTGGCCTTTTTGTTCCTTTATAATCTTGAGATACTGAGATAAGGCAACCTTATGTTCTTGGGAACTTTTCTGGCCTGTTTTTTAGCTATTCATTTTTCTCAAGGAGCATTTTATTTCTTTAATCTAACATGAAAGGCGTTTCTCCTCCATTCCTTTATTAAACAAACATTATTCATACTCAGAATCTGGCTACCAACTTTTTTTCCTATATTATTTGCAAAGGATTCCATTTTTTCACTCATTGAGCCTATTCCAGCATTAATTTCACTACCGCTGCGTAATTTCTTTGATTGGTTTTCTCTTTAAATATTTATCTCTTTCTTAGGGATCTTAGTTTGCTCATGTTCACTTCAAAGCTCATGTCACAGTTGCTGTATTTTACTTCCTTAGATCAGTGGCTTCTGTCCAATAAGCCAAAAGTTGGGTTTCTGTGTTCCCTCCCTTCCCCCCTGTTTTTTGGGGGGGGGGCTATGCTGCCATTTCTGGAAGTTCTTAAACACATTTAAAATCAATATATAGCACTGTTACAGGATTACACAAGCTTGTGCGCACTTAGGGTGCGGTTTGGCTTTTCAAGCTGTGATCCCTAAGCCTTCCCCCCAAATCCCTACAGCATCTCCTTTGTAGTGTCGGGGAAGAACCTACAGGGGAGAGTCTGTTGAGTGTTCTACCACCATCCACTTGATTGTAAGGAAATAGCTCTCTTTGCAGGGGTTTACTCAGGAGGAAAGGACTGGCAGGCCTCCTGCCTTCTTGTGAAGAGTTTAGCAAAGTGGCTGACATATAAGAAAGGCTAAATTCCCTGTAAAGAGTGCTGGCTCAGTAAGAAATTTGAAGTCGTTAATGTGTATGGAGAGCCGGTTTGGTGTAGTGACTAAAGTGCTGGGCCTGTGAGTTCTAGTCCTCCTTTAAGCATGAAAACTAGCTGGGCGACTTAGGGCCGATCCCCTTCTACCTCACAAGGTGGTGGTTGTAGGGAAAACAGGAGGCAGGAGTGTTAGGTATGTACGCCACCTTAAGTTGACCACAAAATAAAGGCAGGATAAAAATCTAATGATAAATAAATGTAAATCACAGTTAAACAACTATGTTGGAGTTGGAAGCAAAAAGGAGAAAGGGAGAAAAGGAAAAATAACAATGACTTCTGTGGGATTTATCTTTATAGCAGCTCTCCAGCCTGGAATACATAGACACACACAAGTGTACAAAAAATCAAAGATAATAGTTCAGATCATTTTCATGAAAAAGATCAAAATCATAATTTTGCATCTAGCCTTCACTCCTTCCTAAATTGCTATATTTTTCCTGGATAGCCAATCCCTGTTTTCTTGGGATTGGAGCTTCGGCTTCTGTGGCTTTGAGCTAGAAGAGATGCTCCTACTCTTCATGTGAAAGCAAAGGATAAAAGCCAAATGGAGGTACCCTGTTCCTCTCTTAAAGGTTGCTCAAGAGAGGGAATGTTTTCCAGTTCTGATTGTTTGCTAAGAATAAGGTATCTGCCTTATTGATAGTTTTTCTTCCGTGTTTGAACACCTTGCGATGGGATTTCCCCCTGTTCATCACTAAGGGGAAATAAATTTTTGAACAACAAATTAACCTTGACCACATAGAATAATATTGTTTGTTCAAATCTTTTCATTACATCAAAGGGCCAGTTCAAAGAGAATTAACAATGCCTTCAGTCCAAGCTTTTAGGTCGGTATAACACTATTTTTCCATAAAAGCATAAGAGAGTTTTAGCTCTAATCCATGCTCACTAAACTGAAAGTTCTTCATAAATTGATAAATTCCAAATTTAATATTATTTTTAAATCAAAATGAGACAACCATAGAACAAGGGCAAATCATGCTTGTCAATATCCCTGTGAATAAATTTCCAGTATGAGGATGTTGACCTTCAGCTTTTTCTAAACTTCCACTGAAATGTTGAATAAACATGAAAAAGAACCATTTGTGGAGTTAGTCTGCAAAGTTAAGAGTCTTCTGTTCTCCAGTCATACCAGTAGGTTAGGAACTTCAGATGTAAATGTATCAGGTCCAAATCATAATGTCATAAGATACTTTAATTCTTCATGTAAACCATCAGATGTTAGGAAAGACTGATTAACAATAAACTGATTTAGAGTACTGATATATTGTCCTGTTCGTCTTTTCAGAAAAAAACGAAACAACTCCACCCTGCAATTTCTAAATTAGTATTATTCCTGAAACATAAATGTTTTGTGTGAACAGTGCATTTTACAACTCCATTTGGGCAGAAAGAGAAACCATGCACCTGCCAGAATACCATGTCTGTGTGTGTGGTATGTATGCCCTCACTGAACTTCAAGAAGAAATAGAAGTCAAATGAAATAGAAGTCAAAATATAAGGCCAGGAAATACTGTCTCCTCCTGACCAGGGAAAGTTATCAGTTGGGGGACATAGTGGAAGCTGAAACAAGAGGCTGGAAGGATGTGGTTGAAATGATTCCTATAAATTAAAAAAAACTAGGGTATGTTGGAGACCTCTTCTTATTAGCTTCCCAATAACACCTATTTGTGGGCACACAAGAGACACTACTTTTGTGACAGCTCAGAAGCCATTGGGAAGAGAAAGGGATGGTCTGGATATTGCCTTCTCAGCTGGCTACCCCAGTAGAGGTGTCTCCATCCCACCAGAGTTCTTAGGAGAGATGCTTCAGGTGGTCCTCAAGGAGCCTTTGGGCTTCTCACTGTCCTCAAAAGAGTGTGCAGCTTCCTGGGAAACCCCTTTTGTAACTCCTGGCTTTGCTAAAAAGGCAAGCTTTGGGGGCAGAGAGGCTTCTTTGGAGAAAGCTCTGAGGGAACATCTCTTCCTTGGTTGGCGCCTCTGACCAGGCTTTTCCCCACAGTGCTCTTTCCTCCCACTCCCATCATCTGAGCGGCATGGAAAATGCACTCCTCCATCCCTTACAAAATTGCCTGCATTTCTCATAGAAGCCACTAGGGGACTTCCTCTGCAAATGCAATAGGACTGGTTGGCCCAGTGCTGCAGCAGGGGACTGAGCCTGCACTCCCCAATTGCTCCCTGGGATTTTGCAAGGAAGTCAGGAAGCAACATCCACAAAATTTTGGCCTCTCTAGGACTCTGCTCTTGCTCACTGTAACCCTTGAGCTTCAAGACCACCAAGAAGGGGGCAACACAGGATGGTATCTGTCTACCTGGCCCTGATGTCCGGAGAAGAAAAGGATCCAAACATTTGTTGTTGTTGTTTAGTCGTTAAGTCGTGTCCGACTCTTCGTGACCCCATGAACCATATTGCGCCAGGCCTTCCTGTCCTTCACTGCCTCCCTGAGTTTGCTCAGTTTCATGCT